TTCTCATTATGAGATTGATTTAAGAACAGTATAGGATCATTTACCTTCTATCTAGATAGTTTTCACTTGTTTTAATCATTTTCTAATTAGCTAAAAGCAGGTGAAAATGATCTGCGACTGCGCTAAGATCATTTCAACAGATAAAATTCCCTAAAAAATGTCAAAATGTGAGGAAAATCTGTTAAATATTCTTGTATTATTCTAACAATATTCTCATCTGCCTCAGCAGTTGATCAGCTAAGGCAGGTTTGGTGTCTGAAAGTGTTTTAGCACTGGAGCTCTGAGGCTAATGTAGCTAACAGGTAATGGAAGCTTATTAGCCAGTTAGCACTGCGCTAACTGGATGCCTAAATCACCAAACACTTGCCACATAGTGTAGAGGTGTTTAGTATCTCTAATAGACTTGATTATGTGGTTTCTGACACTATATGACAAACAGCTACGTATGAACGTGGACTAAAATGCATTAGAGTAGCATATTCTGTTATTGCTACAGTGTGTAGCTATGCTAATATACATTGGTGCATTTTTATAGAAAGCAGTATAAACAAGAGTGTCAGAAACAACATGAACAAGTTTCGGTAACACTTTACTGTAGTGTACTGGTCATAACTCTTTATGACACCAACATAAGCTTGTCATGAAAACTGACATACCCCTATATAAATGTTTATAAATGCTTATTCCAATAGGTGTAATTCACTATGAAGGTTACTTTTGCCAGTTTTGATCAAAGTTAGCTAAAGTAGTCTTTATGACAGATGATGCCTATTAGTATAAGCATTTATAAACATTTATGTAAGGTTATGTCAGTTGTCATGACAAGGCTATGTAGGTGTCATGTAGCCTTCTGAACAGAACCCTACAGTAAAATGTTACCCAACTTTCTTAAAATTACTCAACAAAGGCAGTTTAAGGCAGCTGTTGCTAATTGTTGAGGCAGAAGCTAACATTACTTGTTAGTTACCAAGTTCGCAAAATTTGTCTGGACCATCTGTGGGCCACATCCTTGGGTTTGTTTTTGGCCCAGTATACAGCTCAGTCCACGGCCCAGATCTAGCCCAACTACATTGTTGGTCCACAACATTCACACCAGGATTGACCCATTAATATAAACAGGAGGCAATTCTGGATGAAGTTGTACAGCATCTGGCCCAACATTGTAGCTGGGCCAGATTTGGGCCACATGCGTTAGTTCTACACACTTTACAGCGTGTGGGCCAAATCTGGGCCATGACCCAGCTGTATGCTGGTCCAGAACAAACCTAAGGATGTGGTCCACAAGTGGTCCAGACATTGGAATTTGGTAGCTAACAAGTAATGGAAGCTTTTACCTCAACAATTAGCATCAATTGCCTCAAACTGCCTTTGTCAAGTAATCTCAAAGAAACCTGCTAATGTGGTTTCTGACACTGTATGACATACTGCTTTCTACAAAAATGCACCAATCCTGACAGCAAGAGGACAGAGGACCACTGTCGGCCCACTGATGGCAGAGCTAGTGGTCCACTGGCATTTTGCTCAGCATTTTCTGGGCGGTCCACCGGCGGTTAAGCAGTATTAGACAAAATTTCACTTATCATCACTCATTTTCCACTCACAGTCCAACTTACTGATTTTTCCTCATTTCTTTAGTTACACTTTATAAATTAGATTAGTAAATCATTTTAATCTAGCAAAGCGTCAGCAACAACATTTTCTATAACATCATTTTACATCAGGCCTAATCATTATTTTTTTTCTTTCAGTTTTATTTTCTAAAATAAAAGTCTCTGTGCATTTAAAATCCATTTGAGAAGATTAAAAACTAGTTAAAGCTTGTATACAGGACAGTAATCTGGGTGGTCCGAGGGGGGGATCAACAGTGGCAAACAGTCAGTGGGGTGCCGACCTTATCAAGCCAGCGGACCGATATATGCTCGCTGTCAGGGAATGTACATTAGCATAGCTGAAAACTGTATCAATAACACAATACGTTACGCTAATGCATTTTAATCTATGTTTATAGGTAACTGTTTGTCATACAGTGCCAGAAACCACGTGATTAAGTCTGTTAGAAATTACTTAACATGGGTTGAGAAAAGTGTCTGATGATTTAGGCATCCAGTTAGCACAGTGCTAACCGGCTAATAAGCTTCCTTTTTCCTTTTTTTTTACTTTTCAGCTACATTAGCCTCAAAGCACCAGTGCTGACTACGTTGTTGGTCCATTGTTGATTCATTGTATAGACATGAGACAATCCTGTATGAAGTTGTAGAGCCTCTGGCCCAACAATGTAGACAAATTTTGCCTGCCTTAGCTGATCGGCTACATTTGGGGTGCGGAAGGAGATCGGATTTCATACCAAACTATCGCTTTAAGGCCTTGATTAGTTTAATATGTGTTAGAATGGGGACTCTAGACTGTAAACACTGCCGATATCCCAAACAGAAAAAAGCTCTAAATACTAGCTGGTTGTGCTATGGATGTGTATGTTCATGTATGTTATGTTAAAAATAATAATTTATACATTCAAGAGCAGGATGTAACGGACGTATGAAAATAACAAAAAGGCTGAAAAAAGATCAAGTTAGGTTTGCTAAACAATTATCTTTGTCTCTTTGTTAGACTAGGCCGAAGCTTCTTATTCACATGTTCCGTTCCACCTTAAATGGTGAGGAGCTACATTCTGGAGCATGTATCATTTAAGGTGGTATGGAAATTCTGAATGAGAAGGCGACAAATAAGAAGACAACTTTAACTGCATCCTTGTTAGTGCGAGCAAAAAATAAAAAATAAAAAATCATATTCAGTGCCAGCAGACATTCAGAACTTACGAGTAACTTTATATCAACTTTCGCCCACAAACATGCAGAGTCTTTTTCAGGCTGAATCTACGGATGATGTTCGTCACAGGCAATCTCTGTCAAACCAGAGGCAAAAGTAGTTTTTGGCACATAAATAGCAGTTCGGCCGATATAAGTATGTTTTTTTGCAGTTTTCAACAATTCCAAAACCTCTTCTGTTGCGGTTCAAGAGGGAGTACAGTGTAAATCATATACACATTAAGAATTTGAGTACAATATCATAAGCAATTTCGTCCTTTTATAAACCACTGATGGCTGATTTCATAGACACAGGAATTCTGTTGAATATTCGAAATGTCTGCATAATTCAATCGAGTCATTCAGAGTGGTTCGTTGTTAAGTGGTTGATTGTAGAGACTGAAATGTCTTTACAGTGGTGGTTATAGGAACCAGGGGTCGCCATGACTACAACTACAAATATAGCCATTTATATTTTTTATAGAAGACTGGATGTTTATTTAATAGCAGTCTTCTATACATGACCAAAATCTTTTCCCGAAACTATTGTAAAATGTACTCTACGTCATAAAAGTGAATTCATGACCATTTCATGTAGTAACTTTCTGTGAGGGAGCTTTTAGAGGTGGACGTCTGGTTCCTATCACCACCACTGTGAACAGTTCTGACTCGGTAAGTTTCTCTAGAACAGAGCGTTTCACACCAAACCACTCTGAACGAGCTTTGTTTACATCATAACCAATTAATTATGCAGAAATCTTCAAAAAAAATCTAAAAAAAAAAACAGTGAGATTCCTCTGTAAGCCACGTCATGTATTAGTAATATTAGCACTTTAGCAAAGAAAATATGCTAACATTAGCAAAAACATTACCTCAGTACAAGTTCAGGCATTTAGCAGTAAACTTCATAGTTTTCAGTACTTTACAATCTTTGGCCCACATTCATCAAACGTCTCAGAGTAAGAACACTGATTTAAGACCTTCTAAAGAACCACAGAAGAGGTTAAGTTTAGCTTTTCTGTCAGTCGGGTCACTTTTACTCTCTCAAACATCAGATTCTCTCATCTACACTTGTGTCAGCAGAGCAGCAGTCAGTCAGAATCAGACCTGTGCTGTGGTGAGTGGCTCTGTTTGGGTCTGTAGCTGCTTGCTAAGCTAACGTTAAGATAGCCAATCAGGCTACAGATAAAACACCACGGAACAGATTTAATTTCACTAATCTGTCCCTTCAGCATCAGCTACTTGACTTCACTTGAAATTTGAATCATTATCTTCTAAAGTTGTGCCCTAGTTAGGCAGAATTGAGCAGGTTTAGTGGTGAGCAGAGCTGTTATCATGCTAGCTAAGCTAACGCTAACCAGCTCTTCTGTACTAGACAGCAGAACTAGCATTTAGCAACTGTTAGATAGATGGTTTGATATATTTGAATGATGGATTTCAAGTTGTGCACTGTGTCAACTTATTTGGTGACCATGTAAGTAAAGTAAACCTTTATTATTATCGATTATCCCCCCAATAATCCCACTGTGGTAATATTCAGAGACAGTTTAAAGGTAAGAAACATGAAGTTGGACAGTAGTAGTGCACGCATTCATGTTATGAAGTGTTGGCAGATATCTGTGAGTGTGTTTACATGCACTTAACAATCTGATAACTGTAGGAAAATCTGATTTTGTCAGTAATCTGATCAACGCGTTTACATGCACTTGAGTAATCAGATAATGGGGAAACTCTGGGTCTACATGAGTCAGACAGTAATCGGATTTCTGCTTTACAACCAGCCAATAAACGCACAGAAGAAGACGTGACGTAAATGTAACGTAAAACTCAAACTTCATACTGCGGCTTTTTTTTTTAAAAACAACATCGACCCACTTTACCTGAACCTTCATCATGAAGATGAAGAATATTTAAATCCTTAATTTCGTCAAGCATGTATTTGGTTTCAGCGCCGCTCCAAAAGTGTTTTGCTGCGTCTCGCTGCTAGCTTATTTCCGGTAACGGCATCTGTTTTCGCACATGCTCAGACTGAGAAATCCGAAAGAAATCAGTGTAAGGGTTTACATGCACTGAGAAATCTGATTACTGAGCTAAAATCCAGCCTCAGATTTCATCAGATTTCTTAATCAGATTTTATCAGATTTCTTAATCAGATTTCTAGACCTTACTCCAATCTAAGAAATCAGAGTATGCTGTTTATATAACCATTTAAATAATCAGATGACCAAAGAAATCTGATTACTGAGTGCATGTAAACACACTCTATGTGAACGTCTGCACATGTCGCATTTGTTCACAGATAAGCAGACACAGACGTATAATTTGGTCTTTGCTCTGAGACGTTGAAAAATATGGGCCATTTTTGGCCGAATTAGCATGCTAATATTTGAATTAGACTATGACTAGTACTAGAAAGGAACTTCAGCTGGCCATCACAATTACAGTGAGACAAAATCCAGTGTCTAGAACATCAACCCTGAGCCTGAAACTGAAGTCCAGATCAGATAAATCAAATGGAGTTAACTGTGTTTAGGGTTGGGATGTAATGGAATACAAGTATTCAGTCCAAGCTACTTTTTGGAAATGCAGTATTCAGAATTCAGTTACATTCGTAGGAGAATATTTTTAGAATATTTACTCACTAAATTAGAAAATATATATTTATTAACTAGTTTAGAATCTCTAAAGAGGGCCTCAATTAACAGCCTCTTTACTGAAGTTCCTGCTAAAGCCTGAGTAGACTGATAAACCAAAGTGATGAGCCAGTTATTTATCTCAGTGCTACTGAGCTCTCTTAAAGGAATGATCTTCTCAGTAGTGGACATGTTTGCGAGTGATGAGTTTAGCATCAGTGTTGTACTGGACTTTTGCTCAGGGGATTGTGGGAGCAGCAGTGGACAGAAGCATTGGACTGAAGAGAAACTTCATTTAAATGATAAATGGTTTTGCATGAAATAAAGAAAACTGCCAACCAGTGACAGCGAGGAACAGTGTGAATTACCAAGATGTACTGTAAATGTATTCTACATGTATTCTGAATACATTACTTTTTTATGTACTGTAATTGAATACGTTACTGAATGCGTTTAGGACAGTGAGTACAGTATTCAGCCATCACTATGTTTTCAATTTTGACCATCACCGACTGTATTTTAGTGTCCGAGCTGTTTGCTGCTAAATGTAATAGCATGGATAAAAAAAGAAAGATATTCAAAACGGGGTTAAAGTAAGTCAAGGCATGAGAAACGAGAACAAAGTAGCAAAACATTCATTTCGTAAAGGTGGATTCTACTGTGTGTAACCCATACAGTTATCTTTGTCATTGTTAACAGATATTCTGTCATAAATTTCTTCAAGACAGGAAAGGGGGACAAAATCTTGTTTACCAGAGACAATTTCAGAAACGCTCAAAAATGCATTGGAGCCATTTTGGGGAAATAAACAGTAAAGTCCACACGTCGGACAGGGCTGGAGCGAAAGCTGTCCAGCGCCGTGCTTTTCATGACCACATCAGCGCGTGGGGCTGAGCTGCAATTCCATGTTTGTCCACTGTGGGGTAGAGGGGGGAACAAAGCGCGGCCTGGTGTTTTTTAACAGGCGCATTTCTTTTCGCTAGCAGGGGCGGCGGTCAGCTTGCTGGTGCCGTCGGTGTTCTGGGCGTCGGCTGCAGGCTTGTCCACGCACTGCTCCATCCTCTTCATCACCAGGTCCAGCAGAGTGACCACCGCCTTGTCCACCTGCGCGCCCGTGGCCGCACTCGTCTCGAAGTAAGGGATGCTGGAGAAGAAAGGATAGAAAATGAATGTAGATTTGAGTCTTTAACATAAAATCTGATTTACTTTCCTGTCTAAAGTTTGCTTCTTTAGGTTTAGTGTTGGTGTCTAGTTTAGGTTTAGTTTCTTTAGCTTTAGTGTGAAATTAGCATTGCAGTATATGTAGCTAACAAATAATGAAACTTACACAAAGACATGGAATAGAAATGTGAAATGTCATAATTTTGAATACCGTCATTATTATTTAATAAAAAGAGCTGAAATAAGGGATTAAAGGTATTAAAAAACACCTTATTGCTGTTATTCCGCTCCAGCTCTACCTTAAACTGTGTGAAGTTGTTCATTAATCTCTAATAGACTTTGTAATGTGGTTTCAGACACTGTATGTGAAACTGTTAGCTATAAACATGGACAAAAGTACATTAGCATTGCTAAAAACAGTAGCAGCAGACTTGAAGCCTGAATTTTGTAATGTAACCTTGATTTTGTCCTAATTTCTGGATGTAAGCTTCCATTATTTGTTAGCTACATATACCGTAATGCTAATTTCTGGGTGTCAGCTTCCATTAGTTGTTAGCTACATATACCGTAATGCTAATTTCTGGGTGTAAGTTTCTGGGTGTGAATTCTGAATTCTGAAAATTAGCATTACGGTATATGTAGCTAACAAATAATGGAAGCTTACATCCAGAAATTAAGACAAAATCAAGGTTACATTATAAAATTCAGGCTTCAAGTCTGCTGCTACTGTTTTTAGCAATGCTAACGTACTTTTGTCCATGTTTATAGCTAACAGTTTCACATACAGTGTCTGAAACCACATTACAAAGTCTATTAGAGATTAATGAACAACTTCACACAGTTTAAGGTAGAGCTGGAGCGGAATAACAGTAATAAGGTGTTTTTAATACCTTTAATCCCTTATTAAAGCTCTTTTTATTAAAAAATAATGACGGTATTCAAAATTATGACATTTCACATTTCTATTCCATGTCTGAACAGCCAAATAATCACCTTCCACCTATTGAGACTGTAGAGGAGCTCACTGACTGGCGGTGTGGTCTTACTGTTTCCACAAGGTCCTTGACACGTCTCAAAAACACTGTGTCCCCAGCGTTTACAGATATATTACACTTGAAAAACATGTTAGGATTACAGTTTATATATATTTTTAAAATGAAACAAGTTATTTTAACAATTTCACCTTATTGAGCCTCAATTTAGCAATATTGTTTTTTAAATCAATCAGAATTCCAAGCACCACAGAAGAGCTCGTCCCCACAGTCATGTGTAAAGGCTGAGGCCATATTTTGAAGAAAAAAACATGTTTTTCTGCAATTTTAACTACAATAATCTATACATGACTATGGGATATATGGTTTAAATGACATAAAGAAAACAAATGGCAAATAAATATTATAAAACATATAATGAAAGTTGTTGTCCCCAGGAGTCGTGTCACTGGTGTTACCTCATAACAAAAAATCTCTTATTTTGAAATAAAAGTCACACTGATGACATCACTCGACTTCCTTTTACCTGTTTTCTGAGGATCTATGATGAAAAGCACATGGTGAGTCCACTGTGTCTTTCAGTTATCAGAGATTTTCTCATTTAGCTCATGATTTCATATGAAGCTTTTAGCTGAAGTCACTGGTGTGACCGACTTTATTCTGAGGTCATTGTGAAAAAATAGAACACAAAATGGATTAAATTACAACATGTGGTTTGATGTTCTGTAGGTGTTATTTTGTAAAATGCATTGTTCATTAAAAATGTCTCTGGTGTTTCCTTTATTATGTGTAACACCAATGAAGATCAGATAGAAAAGTGGATGTTTCTGTAGAATGACTCATATTCTGCTTTCTGTTATTTAGATCTGGCTCGACTCAGCAGATGAAAACGCACCCAATTCAATTTTTTTTTGCTGTGACAAACATATGACTGAAAGATAACAACGGCCATCAGCTTAAATAGTTGCACTCAGATGAATATGTAATAATTATGGCAGGCATAATCACCAAAATCATACCACTGAAGTTAACAGCACAAAAGTAAAAACGTGACATGCTTCATTCTTTTGTTCCAGCTTTTGTTCACTTGAATGATTTGCAGAGGTTATCACACTCATTACACAGAAAACCAAGCAGGCCTAGTGTGTAATTACAGGGTTGCTATATTGTGTTAAATTACAGTTGAAATGCACTGAGAAAAAATTAAAAAATAAAATGTTGCCGACTATCACAGAGGAGGAGTCGATCATTATTGCACAAGTTAATCACCACATGCCACATAGTCTATGAAGCCCAGTCAGGAAACAATGACTAGCAGCACAACTTTTATCAGTGCAAAAACAGCCTTTCCTGCCAACTTATTATGTGCCTGTTACGTATTAGATTAGATTTATTGTACCCAAATGGAAAATCCATTTTGGAGGGCCAGGGTCCACTATATTAATTTAACAACCAGGGCAGTTACAATTATACACAGTATGGCCAAAAGTATGTGGACACTTCTCCTACTTATTCAGAGTTCAGGTGTTTCAGCCACACCCATTGCTGACAAGAGTATAAAACCAAGCCAAGCACATAGCCTTGCAATCTCAGTGGCACACTGGCAGCAGAATGGGTCGTACTGAAGAGCTCAGTGACTTTAAATGTGGCACTGACATAGGATTCCACCTTTGCAAGTCAGTTTGTGAAATTTCGGCCCAGCTAGGTCTGCCCTAGACAACTGTAAGTGCTATTATTGGAAAGCACATAGCAGCTCAGCCACGAATCAGTAAACACTGCAAACTCACACAGCGAGGCCACTGTTTCTCCTCTGTTACTCACTAAGAGTTCCAAACTGCCTCTGGAAGCAACATCAGCACGAGAACTGTGCGTTTGAGCTTCATGAAATGGGTGTGAATTCATGAAAATACACCTTTGGGATGAACTGGAACGTTGACTGTGAGCCCTTTTGTCCAACATCAGTGTCTGACCTCACAAAGGCTCTTTTGACTGAATGTCTACAAATTCCTACAGACACACTCCAAAATCTTGGAAAGCTTCCCAGAAGAGTGAAGCCACAAAGGGGGACCAACTCCATATTAATGGCTATGGTTTTGTGGTGGCATGTCATAGAGGTGTGATGGCCACATGTCCACATACTTGTGGCCATATAGGTCATTCCAAGACTTTTTATCTTATGCTGGGTAGATCTCAAACATATTGTGCCCATCGACCTTTTGGAAAAGGGTTCTATATAGCACTAAAAAGGGTTCTGCTATTGTTACAATATTGGTGCTATATAGAACCCTTTTCAAAAAGCATCTACAGCACATAATTCTCCATCAATCTGAAGAACCCGTTCACAATGCGAAAGAGGGGCTCAGCCATCTCACACACACTCACTCACCCATATTTGTCTGCCAGCTCTCTCGCTTGCTTCTCCTGGACCTCCCTCTGGTCCGCCAGGTCAGCTTTGTTGCCGACGAGAACGATGTCTGGGTTTTCGCAGTAAGCGTTAGCCTGTAGCTGACCTGCACGCACAGCAACCAGACACACAGTCAGGACCAACGGCCAATCAGCCGCTCAGATTACCGACAGTGCAAACCACCTACAGCTACAGTACAGAGAACATACACACATTTAAATCACAGTCATCAACCATTTTGGAGATTTTATATATAATAATAACTTCAGAAGTGTATATTGAAATATTCTAAACTTAACACTAAAAGCTATTTTAAGATTTTTATTCAATGCCATGATCAATAAGAAGATTAAACGTTAGCATTTATGCGAACAACTAAACAATCTATTCAGATTATCAGGATAAAAATGTTTCTTTGGTGAAAGAAAATTTCAGATAAAGAAAATAAAAAACTAACTTTTAAAAAATCCTAATTTAGCAGTTGCTAAATGCTAAATCTGGCATTACTGTAATACTAATATAAGCAACTAGATTTGCAGTTGTGATCATGATGGCATTCCTCATTCCTCAACATGCACAAGTAGAAGAAGAAGAAAAAGGAGAAGAAAAAAGGAAAGAAAATGTAGAAAAAAGAGAAAAAGAAGAACAACAAGAAAAAGAAAAATCAGAAGAAAAGGAGAAGAGATATGGAGAAAAAAACTAGATGAAGAATAAGAAAAAGGAGAAGATAACAAAGAAGAAGAAGAAAATGAGAAGAAAAAGGAGATAAATATGGAGAAAAAAACTAGATGAAGAAGAAAAATGAGATAAAGAGAAATAGAAGAGAAGATAAAGAAAGAAAGAGAAAAAAGGAAGGAGAAAAAGCCAAGGAAAAAGAAAAAGAAGAAGAAGACGAAAAAGAATGAAAAGGAGAAAACGTAGGAGAAGGAGAAGAAAAAGAAGAAGAAGAAGAAAAAAAAGGAAAAGGAGAAAACGTAGAGGAAGAAGAAACTAGAGAAAGAGAAAGAAAAAAGAAGGAAAAAAGACAAAGAAAAAAAGAAGAAGGGGAGAAGAAGATGAAAAAGAAGGAAAAGGAGAAAATGTAGAAGAAGAAGAGAGAGTAAGAAAAAAGGAGAAAAGGAGAAAAGGTGTAGAAGATGAAGAGAGCAGAAAAAAAGATGAAGAAAAAGATAAAATAAAAAAGAAGAAGAGAAGATAAAGAAAAGATAAAGAAGAAGAAGAAAAACGAGAAAAGGAGAAAACGTAGAAGAAGGAGAAGAAGAAGAAGAAGAAGAAGAATGAGAAAAAGAAAAATCAAAATCAATGTCTGTGATTTCTGTGTGGTTCTCACTGGTTTTTAACTGCCGCTGTTTCAATGTAAATTTGAGTGAATGTGAATTTTACTAAAGCTGCTGTTTTCTAATGAAAGCGAGAGGCTCAGCTGATCTGCACTGAGTGTCTGATTTGTGGGTGGAGTGTCTCTTTAAGAGTTGCTGTTACTGACTCATCCAGTTGCGGACGTTCAGGAAGCTCTGCTGGCTGGTCAGGTCGAACATCAGCAGGAAGCCCATCGCGTCTCTGAAGAAGGCCGTCGTCAGGCTTCTGAACCTGTGATGGAGAGGAAGATGTTGATATTGCACAGCTTATCACAATCAAGATTATCAAAATAAATATTTAAAATTCTCCTACTGCTCCATCTTACACTGAGGAACAGTTACAGATACTGACCTGTGCATTTTTACTGCTGCATATATCAATTTTATAAGAACTTTATTGTAGATAATAATTTTATTACAATTTAATACATGATCATTTTATTAGACTGTCATTCTGGAAAATAACTATTAGTTTTACTTCATTCAGGTTATAAATTTTAGTAGAGCTTAATTCTAGATATGAATTTCATAATAACTTTTTATGATATCAGTTTTATTAGAACTTTATTCTAGATATACATTTTCTCACAAATTAATACATGATCAATTTATTAAACTGTTATTCTGAAAAATATTTTTTTAGTTTTACTTCATTCGGGTTATAAATTGTATTAGAACTTCACTCTAGATATAAATTTTATTACAATTTTATACAGGATAATTTTATTATACTGACATTCCAGAAAATATTTTTATTAGTTTCACTTCATTCGGGTTATAAATTTTAGTAGAACTTAATTCTAGATATCAATTTCATTAGAATTTTTTTCATTATATCAATTTCATTAGAACTTTACTCTAGATATTAATTTTATTACAATTTCATACAGTATCATTTTATTACACTGACATTCGGGAAAATATTTTTATTAGTTTCACTTCATTTAGATTATAAATTTTATTAGAACTTAATTCTAGGCATTCATTTTATCAAAATTCCTTTACATGATTTTTACCGCAACTAAACTTTTCATTCTGGATGTTCATTTTATTAGAACGTCTTTTTTGATTTTCTACAGTTTATCATTTTATAATCATCTACAGCTCTAATATTTCTCCATTTCTATATATTTAAGTATATAAGTATGTGAAACTTGTAAAGGTTATTATTAAAAACAGTCATTTCAACCTTTGAACTGTACAGTTGATGTAAAAGAGTAAATAGATTCCGATATTTTATATTAACTGATGAAAATGTTTGAATTTATGCAAACAACTAAACAATCCATTCAGATTATCGGGATAAAAATGTTTCTTTGGTCAATCCACACCGCCGATGTTAGATTTCATCTACAGGTGCGCATGCACATGTCGATGCCGATACCTGACCAATACCAATACTGTGTTTAAGCGCCCGTATCAGCGCCGATACTCCTACAGTATCAGTATCGGTGCAGCCTTATTTTATAGTCCAGCCAAATGCCAGTGGGGACTGAGCACACTGGAGCCAGAAAAGGCCAATGACTCCAGATACTAGACTACTTTCTCTCATATCGGGCTGAGAACAGGAAAGAAAATATGCAGATGCTCCCTAAAGCCGCAGATCGGCTTAAAACAGTGGCTTCTTTCAGGTTCAGCTGAGGCTCTTTGCTCAAATCCTAAAACTAATATCTGAAACCTTCACGCTGAGCGCTAAAAATAGCCAGGCTGCGCAACGACGTCATGACTCATACTTTCAGAAATAGTTTCGGCATTTCAGAGCGAATCCGGCTCATCGCAGGATCATATGATCCTTCCCTTTTTGGTTATCCAGCCATCTGCTTGGAAAGGTGTGAAGAATGAAAACGGCTCAGACTGTCACTGACGTCTTTACGCTGCTCTCTCAGGCAGCTGAGGGGAGCAGGATGGACAGCGCTATCAGGCTTTAGCAGAGAACGTCATGAGAAAAAGCTCAATCAAGACGCCAGCGAAAGCTCCGAGAATGAAAGACCAGCACAGTGCATTGCTTTGCCTTTGTGTGCTTTTAGCCTCCTTTAGAAAGTGTACAGTGCATTCAGCGGGAATGTGCATTATGGTCTTACTCAACTGAGAAAATGATCTGGGCAGTAAACATAAATACAAATAAACAACACAGTTATTATCGAATCCTTCGTCGGATTAAATCAGATGATGGAACTGAACGAAGCCATGCAGTGGCTGGAGTACTGTATTCTACTAAACTACATATCCATTACTTTTTTAAAAAAAACTATACATTCTTGTCACAATTTACTGCATTTAAGTTTATTCAAATGTTATATAAGCTGTGTCCCAATTCAGGGGCTGCATCCTTCGGAGGCTACATTTGAAGACTGACTGTGTCACAGCGGTGCGACTAGGCTGTCCCATTTCGAAGCTCCTTCATATGTGGCTGAGAAATGTGTCCTTCTTTTCCATGGCAACCAACCAACAGGTGGATCCTTCGCCAGCCAACATATCCCGAGGTTCACTGCGTGCCGGTGAGGATTCAAGAACATGGCGGCATTAGCAGAGGAGTAAAAACAGCTGAGGAGTCACTTTGGGTTTAAACTGAGTCAAATAGTGAACCATACAAATGTTAAAAAAGGCGATGTGGTCTGAAGCAAAACTCACGCTAACAGCCTTTGAAGGACGTGGTCTACTCAGGTGTGCCCTTCGAAGTCTGTGTAGACCCACGAAGGCTGAACTGAAATATGACGCTCTGCTCTACTTAGGATTTGTTTGCTGTTCCTGCCCTTACTGGTGCCTCACGAAATTCTGCTCCTGTTAAGTTCTTTTAAAGGAGCCAAAAACTTTTAGTTTTTAAATATTTTTCATTATTAGAGCTGGAAATGCTTCTCTCTGTTTGCCTTTTGCTCACTAAAACAAAACGAAACATTAGCGCAAGTTTTGCTTCAGACCACATTGGCTTTTTTTAACATTTGTACCGTTAGCTATTCGACTCAGTTTAAACCCAATGCTTACATTTAAAAGTGTCTAGTCAGCCGCCGTTCGCTCTTCTGCTGACGCCACCATGTCCTTGATTGTCCTTGCCGGCACGCAATGAACCTTGTTGGCTGGCGAAGAATCCACCCGTTGGAATGGAAACCTGCCATGGAAAAGAAGGACATATTTCTCGGCCGCATATGAAGGAGCTTCGAAATGGGACAGCCTAGTTGCGCCAATGTGACGGAATGGGCCTTCAAATGCAGCCTCTGAAGGATGCAGCCCCTGAATTGGGACACAGCCTATATAACATCTGAATAAACACAAATAAACATAAATACAGATGCAGCCTCTGAATTGTGACACAGCTAGAGTGTTTCACTAGCTCACTTCCTGCCCAGATGAATAGTTTTAAATCAACTTCATGGCTGCCTAAGACTTTTGCACTGTTGTGTATGTTAATTTGGGTTTGCTCAGAAGAATTTCAGAGGTGCCCTTAATTGAAGCAGTGTTTTGAATAGCTCGATTTCTCTTATATTTCCAGTACATGCTCAAACTTTTCAGCAGAAACTCCTAAATGTCTAAGCATTGGCCTCATCCTTGGAAGGCTAATCCAGAGACAGTTTATGAGGAGCCTGGCCTCTTCTTATTTCCCTCGTTATATCAAAAACATGACTATGAATTGCCAGAGGGTGCCTGCAAGCGAGTCCTCAATGAACAGAGCTTTGTAAATTGAGGTAAATGGCTAAAAACTAAAAGTTAAAATAGTTTCTAATCACTCACCCAGAACTTTCCTTTCATTTTAGAAAGTAGAAGGATGTATTTCACTAAAAAAGCAAAGAAATCTCACCTGTATGTTTCCTTTTTTCTACAGCAAACGGGTTTTGGGCAGCAGAGCGCTAACATTACTGCTACTGAGTGACTGGTTGGTGAGCAGAGCAGCTCATTGGCTGTTCGCACTTACTGGCGTCATGTATATGAGGTGCCGTTTTAAACTCTTATAACTCGAGTTTAAAAGCTCCTAAAAATATAACAGCAGTGTTAAAATGTTTTTTTGCTGTTCTGTGTTCAGGAAATTATTGTATTCTTTTATATTAAAATGTTTAAGCATTTATAAAAATTTTTTTACTCAAATGCTCCAACTTAATCCATTCATTGTGGGACTCGCTCAGGAGTGCCCTCTAGTGTTTGAGAAACCCGAAGACATTACAGAGGGAAAATTCTCCTCTCTATAAGTTCCCTGTTTGAGCTCAATCCACGGTGATGCCACAGCCATCCGTTCTCTCTGGGTGGGTCGTTCCCCACCTCACATGACTCAGCATGATGTAAGCTGACAACAGAATTAGCAAATGGACACTTAAATTGACTCACTGGCTACAGGCCTAACACACCCCCATATCATCACCTGGCTTATGAACTTTACGCTGGTAACAATCTGGATGGTCCTCTTCTTTGACACAAAGAACCCACCGTCCATTATTTCCGTAAACAATCTGTTTCCACGTGTACTGTGGTCTGACAGTAGACATCAAATCTTATGTCAGATGAGCACAATTCCAGAGAAGTTTGCAGTGTTTCTGGACCATGTTGACATATGACTTCCGCTATGCATAGCTGTGGTTTTCAGCCTTGCCCTTTACGCACAGGGATTTCTCAGGATGCCCTGAGTCTTTTAATTTTACGCACTGTAGAGGGTGAAATACCTAAAATCCTTGCAATCCCTTGCTGAGGAACGTTGTTCTTAAACTTTTGGAATATTCACGGATGCATTTCTGGTAAAGTAGCATGCCTCAACCCATTCTTGCTCATAGAGGACTTGATCGTTCCTGGATCCTCTTTTATACCCAAGCTTGATTGCCGACATCATTTTTGAACATTTTCCAACTTTTTTGGAACATATGCAGGCATCAGTTTCTGAAAGAGCACATGTTTAGGAAAAAATATCTAGCTTTTGTACTGTTTAAAAGTGGATTTCACCTACCGTCCCAACTTTTTTGGAACTAAGGTTTGTAACTTTTAATTTATGCTTGTAAAGTGTCTTGAAGTGTCATGAGACTGTCGTAAAAGTGTGCAATTTAATAAAATGTATTATTAGTAGTATTTTTATTGTTATTCATCCATTTTGTGTAGCTTGCGCATAACTGTCCCATTGCAACTATATACATTAAAAAAAATGATTGCTCTTTAACATAAACGGTTAAACATGGTGAGGTACCTTTCCTGTCCTGCTGTGTCCCACAGCTGCAGGTGAACCTTAAACGACTTCCCTGTGGTCCCATTGGGGCTGTTAGTGCTGTACACCTGGAAAACACACACACATGAACACGCAGACAGGTTTGAAGAATGACCACCATTGTGCTTACACAATAGACCCTGAGAGCGAGTGCGTTGTCGCAAATGACATCACGGCAGGGATTCGGGCACAGACAGTGAATCACCACAGCTCTGATGACACATGACCTTGAGTTCTTTACTGTTTTTATACGGCAAAAATGCAAAAAAAGAAAAAGTAAAGCAAAGGAGACACTGCATCAAATGCAAATGTGCTTTAACATTGGCAGTTCAGATTCAGTTAAGATTGGTTTAGTTGAGTTCAGTTTGTTTTGGTTGGGTTCAGTTTGGTTCAGTTCAGTTTAGACTATTTCAGTTAATATTGGTTTAGTTTGGTTCAGTTTGGTTCAGTTTAGCTGAGATTGGTTCAGTTCCTTTTAGTTCAGTTCAGTCCATTTTGTCAGTCAAATTCAGTTCAGTTCAGATTGATTCATTTAGTTTCGGTTCGGTTTAGATTGATTTTCAGTTTGGTTCAGTTCAGTTCAAGTCAGATTGGTTTGGTTTGGTTCAGTTCAGTTTGTTTCAGTTCGGTCTGGTTCTTTCAGTTCAGTTCAGTTTAGACAGGTTCAGTTAAGATGGGATTAGTTTGGTTCAGTTTGTTTCAGTTCAGTTGAGACTGGTTCAGTTCAGTTGAGACTCTATTCAGTTCAATTTAATTCAGTTCAGTTTAGATTAGTTTAGTTAAGATTGGTTTAATTTGATTCGCTTTGGTTCAGCTGACATTGGTTCCGTTCAGTTCAGTTCAAGTTAAATTCAGTTCAGATAGATTATTTCAGTTTTGGTTTGTTTCAGATTGGTTCAGTTTGGTTTGGTTCAGTTCAGATTGATCGTTTTAGTTCCATTTGGTTCAGTTCAGTTCAGTTCACATCAGATCAGTGTGTTAAGACTGCACTTTAGAGGTGTGGAAAAACATCCCTGCAGGTTTCATTGAAAAACTGAAAGGTTTCATTGAAACCTGAAATCTTCAACAAACAATATTAACTGAATAACAATATGCACAGTGCCTTGCAAAAGTATTCAGCCCCTTTATGTTTTGTATTACCCTTACACATATTTTTCCAAATAGTATTTCTGTAACACTATATACACCCCACCACCAACAATATTAGGGTGAAATCATGAAAAAAAAGAAGAAAAAAATGAAAAATGCTGATAATAGATTGGAAAAATATGTGTATCATTTGTAATGCAAAAAAAGTTGATAGCTCTCAAGCAGCTCAGTGGAACTCCTGACACTCTGTCAACAGCATTGTTACGGTTATGGTAGTTATGGTTATAGTTCATTACTGCCAGCATTGCTAACCTAATCTACATTATGCACCATTAACAGCACTGTTATCTTAATATTCCATTTCGTATAATCAGCATCACACCCAAAAATTATCTACTGATTTCTTTCAACCAACACCTTCCACACCCTAGACGTCTACAGCAATCCACCAGAAGGCCTTGTGAGCAAATAACACACTGACAGTATGAATATGAACTACATTCTACATGAATATGAACTACGTTTGGTTCAGTTCAGATCTGTTCAATTCGGTTTGATTCAGTTCAGCTCAGTTCAGTTAATTTAAGTTCAGTTTGGTTTCATTCAGTTCGGTTCAGTTCAGCTGAGTTCAGCTCAATTCAGTTCAGTTCAGATTGCTTCAGTTCAGATTGGTTGTCATGGTTTAGTTTTTATAATTCAGTTCAGGTTGGTTAAGATTAGTTCAGTTCAATTCTGTTCAGTTATTCTGTCCAGTTATTCTAGGTCAGTTCTGCTAAGATCGGTTCAGTTTAGACTGGCCCAGTTCACTTCAGCTCAGTTTAGTTAAGACCGGTTCAGTTAATTTCAGTTAAGCTTGGTTCAGCTCAGTTCATATCGGTTCAGTTCAGTTCAGCTCAATTCAGTTCGATTCAGTAATTCAATTATAATTCAATTCAGGTTGGTTAAGATCGGTTCAGTTCAGTTCAGATTGGCTCAGTTCACTTAAGACCGGTTCAGTTCAGTTTGGTTTGATTTGGTTATTTTTGGTTCGGTTCAGTTCAATTCAGCTTGATTCAGCTGAGTTCAGTTCAGATTGGTCCGGTCCAGTCCAGTCAAGATCAGTTCAGTTCAGTTAAGATCGGTTCAGTTCATTTCAGTTAAGCTTGGTTCAGTTCAGTTTGGATAGATTTGGTTATTTTTGGTTCGGTTCAGTTCAATTCAGCTTGATTCAGTTGAGTTGAGTTCAGATTGGTCCAGTCCAGTCCAGTCAAGATCAGTTCAGTTCAGTTAAGTTAAGATCGGTTTAGTTCATTTCAGTTAAGCTTGGCTCAGTTCAGTTTGGATAGATTTGGTTATATTTGGTTTGGTTCAGTTCAATTCAGCTCGATTCAGTTTGGTTCAGTTCAGATTGGTCCAGTCCAGTCCAGTCAAGATCAGTTCAGTTCAGTTAAGATCAGTTCAGTTCATTTCAGTTAAGCTTGGTTTAGTTCAGTTTGGATAGATTCGGTTATATTTGGTTTGGTTCAGTTCAATTCAGTGCGATTCAGTTGAGTTCAATTCAGATTGGCCGAGTCCAGTCCAGTCAAGATCAGTTCAGTTCAGTTCCAATCGGTTCAGTTAATTTCAGTTAAGCTTGATTCAGTTCAGTTTGGTTCAATACAGTTATATTTGGTTCAGTTCAGTTCAATTCAGCTTGATTCAGTTAGTTCAGTTCAGATTGGTCCAGTCCAGTCCAGATCAGTTCAGTTCAGTTAAGATTGGTTCAGTTCAGTTTTGATTTAAGTTTGGTTCAGTTTAGTTTAGTTAATATTGGTTTATTTCAGTTAAGATCAGTTCCATTCATTTTGGTTCACTTTAGTTCAGTTTGGTATGATTAAGATCAGTTTAACTCAGTTCAGTTCAGTTCAGTTGTCTCCAGTCTGCCCATGACAACACAAACAACACGGCCAACTGGACGCCTGCATCAAGAAGAGCAGTTTGCATGTGATTTGAATGTGGGTGTCATACTCGGTTTATATTTCCATACCAACCCTGTGTGGGGGTGTGAGGGTGAGAAGTGCATGCTTTATGTCTCATTAGCAACATTTGCACCTCCTGTTCAGCACAAAGCACTTTTGTGGGAGGCCACAGAACACACACATATACACACACACACACACACACACACACACACTGTTAAGTACGTTAGTCACTATTTACACACAGGGAGTCTGTGCACCTACACATGAATCATTTGAGCTCAGTGCTGGTCAGGGTCAGTTTCTATCAAGCTCTCTTCTTCCCTGTCTCCCTTTCTCTCTCTCTCTCTCTCTCTCTCTCCCTCTCTCTCTCTCTCTCTCTCTCTCTCTCTGTTTATAGCATCTCTTGTGTCAGCTATGGGGAGACGTTTGTGAGTTTCCAGTGAATCAGACTCTCTGAATTTGAATCTGAATCAGAACTGGTCTGCAAAAATCTTGTATATGGTTCTATGAAGCACCAAAAAGGGTTCTTCTGTTGTTACAAGCTTGACATCATAACAGTAGCAGAACCCTTTTCCGTGCCATATAGAACCCTTTTCATAAAGGTTCGGTATAGAACCATCTACAGCATATTCTCCATCAATCTGAAGAGCCATTTTACCATGCAAAGAATCATTTAATCATGTAAAGGGTTCTTTGAGTGTTCATTCTATATAGAACCAATTTTCTGTACTGAAGAACCCTAGAAGAACCAGCTTTTTTAAGAGTGTAGGTAGCTTTTTTGATACATCTGTACCTCATGAATATTTGCCAAGTACTAATTTAAGTACAAAATAACAGGATAAAAATATATTTTTTTCTACTTTCATTGTGAGTTTATGTATTTTCTCATATTCCTTGCTTTGAAATGTATACTTATGCTAAACAAAAAATGAATCAAAATATGTTTAAAAAATTAATTAATAACGATATGCATGGAATTTTGTCCCCGCAGGAAAAAGAGTGAATCCCGGCCGATTCATCAAGAAGTTGAATCTGAATCAGTTTTAAGTTTCCTTGACTGACTAAACAGAAACAATGGAAATGAAAGAAAGTATAACATCTGAGGGAACGAACTGACCACTCTCTTTTCCCTGAAGTCGATGCCCACGGTGGTGATGAATTTGGGGTTGAACTTGTTGTCTGTGTAGCGATACAGAAAGGTGGTCTTGCCCACTCCGGAGTCACCCAGAGCCAGGAGCTTGATCAGAAAATCGTAGTCCCCATCAGTCATAGTGCTGACCGCGCTTAACCTGCAAAACAAAGCACAATCATCTCATTATTATCTAATTACACTTGAACTTGCCAATGATACATGTTACACAAGGACTCTATTAGAGCCAGTACAGACTCTGTTAGAGCTGGCTCATACAGACATCCCACACGGTTATATCAGTATTACTGAAAGTATTGCCAATAATGGGCCTGAGGCTCTTATATTGTCCTGTTGGGCTCCACAGCAGAATTAGATTTTCCTCCTTTACAGTAAAATAAAGCTCTGCTGATCGTTCAACACAGTTTCAACAATAAATGGTCTTAAACGCTGCAGCTGGTTTCCTGATACATTTAATCTGCAACGAGAAACTGCCAAACACTAAAAGTTGCCAAGCTGAAGTCAGCTTCTCATTCGAATTGTCCCGTTCCACCTTAAATAGTACAGCAGTTACATTCTGGTGCCTCAGGCACCATTTAAGGTGGAACGGGAAAAAGAAGCGACTTCAGCCTTGTAAAAATGTTGAGAGATATTTTACAAGAAACTATTCTAATTTTGAGGAAAAGTTTCCTGCTGGAGATGTGAGAAAAGCAGCTATAGCTGAGCTAAAGGTTAAAGCCTATTATGCACATCAGCAAAACAAAAATTTCAGGATTTGATATAGACCTGCGGTTATAAAAGTTAGGGAATGTATTCACTTTCTATATGTGCTCAAGTACAAACCATGATCATATATAAGGTAAGCAAAGATAGCACATGCCTATTCATGTCAACGGAACATGGTCATGTTTAATTTTACAGGTGATACAGGTCCTGTCTTTGCCGCACCCCAACTCCCAGGGAAAACAACAACAAACTGTGTAGAAAGACTTGACAACTGGCTGAACAAACCCGAATTCAAGACCCTGACAATCACAAATATGTTCTCTATAATGCTTTCTATTATCATCAGTGGGGAAAAATAATTGCAGATGTTTAGTGAAAAGGAGTGTGAACAGGACTCGGATTTCTGTTACCTGTATAAAGGGGGAATGACTGAAAAAGATCCAGTGCACTCAAACAACCCCACGGTGCACCGTCATAAGCACTGTACCCAATAAGCATTGGACCCTAGTGGACAGGGGATGCCCATAATGCACTGCGGTGTTTGTAAGTAATGAGCAAACCTGTATTACATTAGTGTCTGAAATTGTTTATTACCATCACAAATTCTGTTCCCTATAATAGAGTTCAATATAGTGATCCAGATTTTCGACTGTAGGGTCTAATGATTAGGGGACCATTTGGATACAGCGCAATGGTGTGTAAAGTGGGAAGGTTGCTTAGCAACCAGAGCGATAAATGATATAGTTATTGCAATAAAAATAGGCTTTTATTTGTGGCTAGCATGCTTCTTGACAATGAATGAGATTGTGCCATCAGAACAGAGGTATAACAGTTGGTAAAGCACTGGTTGACTAAAAATATTTAAGTATAAAATCAAAATATTAAATAAAATGATCAAATTACATCCAGTATATCCATTATTATTGTTTATTGGAATTTTTAGCCCTTAAAAGACAGTGCTGGTCACAAAACTTCCACATCGGCCAAGACTCAAGACTCCACAGTCTGCAAGAAATGGTAGAAACACAAGACTTGTGGACAAATTTCAGCATCGCAAAGCATCAATGTTTTCATGTATTTCAGTTATTTGAGCTGATGTGATCATAATCACATTATTGTTTCTGACCACAGAACTGCTGATGTCCAGATATTTTTTGGGTGGTGCACCATTCTCAGCACTGCAGTGACCACTGATGAAGAGCTACAGGATGTATAACACAAATTGTGCATCAACAGATGAGCTACAGCCTCTAACTGTACACCAGCAAGGTGGAGCTACAATAGAGGGGTTTGTGATAAAGTGGCCAGGCAGCGCACATACAGTAAGTTCTGCATCCAGGCTGGCTACAGCTGCACTGCTGTAGGCGTTCTCCACTGAAACTGAAAGAAATCAAAGCCATTCCACAGGCTGGGCCAGAAATGTTTGCACACATGGAAATGGAACCATTAGTAATCAACTTCTGTGGATATGGGAAGCGCTCCAAGCTCTCCAGCCTGCCCAAAAGCCTGACACAGAGCTAAATGAGTGTAATAAGATATGCTAAATAAATAGAGGCCTGTTAGAGTGCATTTTCTTCCGCTCGTCTCATTCAGTCTTTGAGATCTATAGCATTTCATTGAGAGACGTTAATGTGCCACTGCATCGACCCACTGCCTTTTCCTTACGTTACGCAATATCATTAATGTTGCGTTCTCCTCCCTAAGAGCATGAGAGGAACTTCTGCCTGTGATGGTTGGTACCTTGTGCTTCTACTCACTGGCCACTTTATTAGAGACACCTACCTTGTGCCTTCACTCACTGGCCACTTTATTGGAAACACCCACCTTGTACATTCACTCACTGGCCACTTTATTGGAAACACCCACCTTGTGCTTCCACTCACTGTCTACTTTATCAGAAACACCTACTTTGAAACTGACCAGTTATGAAGTATGGCTAACAAATCATGCATCAACAGATGGGCTACGGTCTCCAACTGTACACCAGCACAAATGTAACAGCACTGATGTCTGTCCATGCTGACTGAACACATCAGAACGATCACATTCAGCACTTTATGCTGTACAAACTTCAGAGAGATTTCCCAGAACATGCATCACAGCTCCAGGCAGACCCTAAACTGACCTCTAGCATGGGGTTCATGAGAAAGGGGCAGAGGGAGGAGGCCATGGAGAGAGAAAAATGTGTTCAGCTCAATGTATTCAGAGTAAAACTGTGCGATAACCACGTTCAGCAAAGAACATCCTGTACGGCCTGTTCATTCACAAAAGAGCTCTCAAGCTGTTAGCATGTGTGTGTGTGTACGCATTAAGACAGCACATGACTCAGAGCTATGCCCACATGAGTGGTCAGGAGTTTCTTTTGGTGGGACACAATGCTAGTTCACATACCAGCTAAAGTTTTTTTTAACCTCAATTTGAAAAACTTTTCTCATTTTTTCTATTGTTTTCAATGTAAAAGGCACCTTTTATGTGCTGATTTGATCCCCTTAGCGCCTTGAGTTTCTCTAATTCTGTGAGGTTCTCTTTTGTGTGGAGCACTCTGGGCACTCTGAGCTGAAAAAAGTGGTCAAGCAGCCTCCATCATGTGCATTTTTGTTCCGGTTGGTTTAGCGTTTAGCGTGAAGAAGCAGAAGCAGGAGCGATTGTACAAGCTGTGGTCACTAGCCACAGAAGCAAGCTGCCTGTTCTTATGTTATGTTCTTATGCACGGAGCGCATTAGAGTACTAATAGTTATCAAAGGCTGCAGCATTGCTCAGCAGAGGTGCTGGAGCTACAGTGCTGTCAAAAAGTATTTGCCCCCTCCTGATTCCTCTGTTTGTGCATATCTGTCACACTAAATGCCACTAATTTAGTTTCTTTGGTAAACTTGCTTTCATGCTTCGGATTATTGTCTTGCTGCATAACCCAATTGTTCTTGAGCTTTAGATCACAGATGACATACTGCGGTAAGATTTTTTGGTAGAGAGCAGAATTCAATGGGTCAATTATGGCAAGTCGCCCAGGCCTTGAAGCAGCAAAGTATCCTCACGCTGTCATACTACCACCACCATGTTTCACATTACCCCTTTATTGTGGAATGCTGTGTTGGCTTTACTCTCATCAGTCCACAGAAAATTACTAATAGAGGAAACACAAAATACAGTTTTTAAATAATCACTGTAACACATGGTCCCCCAGGAGGAGGAAGGACGCTGGAGGCAGGACTGACGGTGGCAGCCGTAATTCCGCTTTTTATTTTCACACAGAATAAAGACAAAGACCACAAAACCAAGAACCTGGCCACTTTTCAGTGGCTTCTAACTAGACTTTTCTCATACGTAAGCTTTTCAGCTCATCAGTCCTTTTTGCTGCTGCCGCCAAAACAGCGTCAGCTGGCTCTCATTAAGGGCAGTGCGAGCACCTGAGCCAAGAGGGAAAGAGACAGTTCGCTGCTCCACCTGCTTATCACCGCCCCCTTTCCGCAGCTCGGCCACTGGGATCAAACATCAGGAGTAGTACACGACTCCTGCAAAACAGGAGGCAGAGCTCTGGAGTTTCATGTGTCTTGTGGCAGCCGTCCTCCCGTTGCCTCTCATGTCTGTCGTCCTCCCGCCATGTCTTGCAGTTCTTATTGGCACATGGGGTTCAGGCACCGGCTTCCAGCCGCCTCTCGCAGCTATCGACGTTGCATGGGGGTTGGGGGTCTTCTTTGCAGAACTACTTGAATTCAGCCACACTGGCTTCCAAGTATAAACTGCCCATTTAGGGTCCTGCCACAGCATCTCAACAGGGTTCATGCCACTCCAAACTTAATTTAGTTTCTTTGGTGAACTTGCTTTCATGCTTTGGATTAATGTCTTGCTGCATAACCCAATTGTTCTTGAGCTTCAGATCACAGATGACATACTGCAGTAAGATTTTTTGGTAGAGAGCAAAATTCATGGTTCTGTCCACTATGGCAAGTCGCCCAGGTCCTGAAGCAGCAAAGCATCATCACGCTGTCATACTACCACCACCATGTTTCACATTTCCCCTTTATTGTGGAATGCTGTGTTGGCTTTACTCTCATCAGTCCACAGAAAATTATTCCAAAAGGGTCAGGGTTCAGGGTTTTTTGCAAATTTAAGATCAACTTTTATGTTCCTCTTGGTTAGCAGTGTGGGATCATTAGCAGAGTCTTGCAGATTGCATGGATACCATTTTCACCTAGTCTTTTTCTAAAAGTGGAATCATGAACACTGACCTTATCTGAGGTGAGCGAGGCCTTCAGTTCCTTAGATGTTTGTCTGGGTTCTTTTGTCACTTCCTGGATGAGGCGTCACTGAGCTCTTGGAGGAATTTTCTTCGGCTGGCCACTTTCAAGAAGATTCACCGCTGTTTTCTTGGTTTGGAACCCTTTCCAGACTGATACCTTTCAATAACTTACTTTCTCATCTTCTTCGATCACGGCA